TAAAATTTTGGGGCAATCATGGTCCTGAAATCCCAAAGTTGACGGCCCCCTTGGGGAACAACTTTAAAGCTCCCTAAATCCTGGGTGACCATAATAACCCTTTCAAAAGTCCCCCTCTCATTTTAACCCTAAATTTCTTTTTGGTTCCCCAGGTCCCAACCCCCCCCCCCCCCCCCCCCCCCCCTTCCCTTCCCCCCAAAAAGGGGCCCCCCCCCTCCCCCCCAACAAAACGGCCCCCGGGTTTTTACCGGCTGGCCCCCGGGTTCCCCCCGAAAAAACCCCCAGGAAAAAAGAGAGAGGGGAAAGTTTAAATGGAAGAAATGGAAGGGGGAGACGGGAAAGGGGGTGGGGTGAGGAGGAACGGGGAGGAGAGAGAGAGTCCCGGGGAGTAAGGGCCCCGTTTTCCTGGGGGGAACCCCCCTCCCCCCCTTGGGTCTCATCGTGGAAAGAGCAAGTACAAGTCCGGGGGTAAATTCCTGGTTGGGGGTTTTTTCTCCAATAGCAACCCCCCCCCCTGGGGAACCCCCTCCTCCCGCCCTTTAAAAACTGGGGCAGATAACCCACGAAAACGATAAAATGGCCCAGATAAACCCCCGATAAATGATTTAATGGGACAAAACCCCCGATTTTTCTGTTTTAAATGGGGACGATAACCCACACTAGATTTTTTTCATTTAGAACAATGGGAATTATATATTTTTTCGGTTTTTGTGAGAATTTGGGGGAAAAAAAAATTTAAATTTTTAATAAACCCAAAAACAAAAATCGCATTTACTAAAAAACGGTTTTTGGCCCAAAACTTAAAAATTTTTTAATGTTGTTGTCTTTTTTTATAGATTTTTTTTTTAAAAAGAAAATTTAATTTTGGAAAATTTATATCCCAAAAGGAGAGACTGATATAAAATGCCCTCTTTTGGCCTCCAGTTTTAGGTTTCTCTGCTTAAAAAGGACCTCGTGGAGGTCCCTAAAAACCCTAACATAGTTTTATTTATTAATTTTTATTAGTTAAATTTTAAATTTTTATTTCATTTATTATTTAATTACCTATTTACTGTTATCTTATTGAAAAATATATTTATAAAAATATATATATATAAAATTTTTATATATATATATAGGGGGAGATGAAAATTCTTCACTTTGGCCTTTTGTAAATTTGGTTTTTAAGGAAAAATTTGGGGCGGGTTTTTTAAATGGGGGATTTTTGAGATTTAAAAAGCCCTAAGTAGGGCCTTTCGAGGAAAGTTAGGGGCCCACAGGCGGTTTGGAAAAATTTTTTAAACCCCTTTCCTTTAACCGTGCCCCCAGAACCCCCCGCCCAAAATGTTAGATCCCACCCCCGCCCCCCCAAAATAAAAAACGAAAGGGGGTTTTTAAAAAAAATTTCTTTTTTGACTCCGTTTCGCGCATATAATTGGGGCCCCTTTTTCACAAAAGAGATTCGGGTGTGGGGGGGAAACTAGGGGAAAAAAAGGATTTTTAATACAAATTTGTGTTTTTTTTTTCCATCGTGTCGGTATTTTAAAGAATTTTTTCTCCAGAGTTCCAAAAAAACTGTTTTTTTATTAAAATTTTATTTTTTGACAACAGTATTAAACCTTTTTTGTTTTTGGGGTTTGGGTTTTTAAAGGGGGATTTTTGTCATTGTGACAGAATTTTTTTTTTAATCGAAATCAGTTTAATGTTGGGCATTTTTTTTTTTAATCGGCACTTGGTTTTCATGTGTGTATCGTTACTTTCCCCATATTTAAATGTAGTTTTTCCCCTGTGTTCAACTGTAAGTTTGTCCCCTGCTGGGGCGGACCTGTTTTTTACAAAGCACAGTTTTTTGCGGGCCCGTCTCTTCTGTGTTTACAAATCAAAAGTTATTGCTACCGGGGTTTTCTTCTGGTTTACAAAGGGCCCCATTTTTTTGGCTTTCCGTTTTTCTTCTGTGTTTACAAAGTCACAGTTTTTTGCGACCTTTTCTTTCCCGTGTTTAAAAAAGTCCAAGTTTTTGGGGACCCGTCTCCCTTTTGTTTTTTTTTAAAAAAAGGGCAAAAGTTTTTGTACCTTTTGTTCTGTTTTTACAAAACCCCCGTTATTTGCACCTGTCTCTTCTGTGTTTCCAAAAAAACACAGTTATTTTGGGCCCGTCTTTCCGTGTTTTTTCAAAGTCACAGTTATTTGCACCTGTTCCCGTTCTGTGTTTTCAAAGTCCCCAGGGGTTTTTGGGGACCTTGGGCTGTTCTGTTTAAAAAAAGTCACAGTTTTTGGACCCCCTTTTCCTTTTGGGGTTTAAAAAAATTTACAGTTATTGCGACCTGTCTCTTCTGTGTTTACCCAAAATACGTTAAATTTCTACCCTTTTTCTTCTGTGTTTACAAAGCCCCAGTTATTGGACCTGTCTCTTCTGTGTTTACAAAGGGCCCCAGTTTTTGCTACCGTCTCTTCTGTGGGTTTTTTAAAATCACAGTTATTGCAACCTGTTCTTCTGTTTTTTCCCAAAATCACAGTTATTGCGGGCCTGTTTTTCTGGTTTACCCAAAATCACCGTTATTTGGGGGACCTGTCCTTCTGTTTTTTACAAAGAACAGTTATTGCGAGGGAAAAAATGTGTGGAAACGCCGGCGCATTTTATAAAATCAGTGGGTTTTAATGATAATTTTTGAAGGGGGGTGGACGGGGGTAAGGAAAGGGCAAGGGTTTGGTTTTTAAAGGCAAAAAAACTCCAGCTGGCTGGGGCTTTTTAAGGGGGAAGGGGCCCGCGTTGGGAAACATTTGTCCTGTTTTCTGGTGAAGTTTAAAATTTAACTAAAATTAAAAACCCTTTCTTAAAAAGGGCCCTAACCTAACCAACCCAAAAAAAACCCTTTTAAACCAACCTAACCTAAAACCCAACCTAACCCAACCTAAACCCAAACCAACCTAACCTAAAAAAAACCCGCCCTTTCCTAACCTAACCTAACCTTAAAACCAACCTGCCCTTTCCTAACCTAAAACCCAACCTGCCCTTTCCCCAAAAACCCAAAACCCAAAACCACCTAAAACCTTTTCCCTTTTCCCAAAATAACCTAACCTGCCCTTTTTTTAACCAAAATAACCTGCCCTCTCCTAAAAAAAACCCAACCTGGGCCCTCTTTCTAAACCCAACCTAACCTTTTTCCCCCTTTCCAACCTAACCTAACCTGCCCTCTCCAAAAATAACCCAACCTAACCTAACCTGCCCTTTCCTAACCAAACCTAACCTAACTGCCCTTTCCTAACCTAACTAACCTGCCCTTTCCTAACCTAACCTAACCTGCCCTCTCCTAACCTAACCTAACCTGCCCTTTCCTAACCTAACCTAACCTGCCCTCTACTAACCTAACCTAACCTGCCCTCTCCTAACCTAACCTAACCTAACCTGCCCTTTCCTAACCTAACCTAACCTGCTCTCTACTAACCTAACCTAACCTAACCTAACCTGCCCTCTCCTAACCTAACCTAACCTAACCTTCCCTTTCCTAACCTAACCTAACCTAACCTGCCCTCTACTAACCTAACCTAACCTAACCTGCCCTCTACTAACCTAACCTAACCTAACCTAACCTAACCTAACCTAACCTAACCTAACCTAACTTAACCTAACCTAACGTAACCTAGCCTAACCTAACCTAACCTAACTTAACCTAACCTAACCTAACCTAACCTAACCTAACCTAACCTAGCCTACCCTAACCTAACCTAACCTAGCCTAACCTAACCTAACCTAACCTAACCTAACTTAACCTAACCTAACCTAACCTAACCTAACCTAACCTAACCTAACCTAACCTAACCTAACCTAGCCTAACCTAACCTAACCTAACCTAACCTAACCTAGCCTAACCTAACCTAACCTAACCTAACCTAACCTAACCTAACCTAACCTAACCTAGCCTAACCTAACCTAACCTAACCTAACCTAACCTAACCTAACTTAACCTAACTTAACCTAACTTAACCTAACTTAACCTAACTTAACCTAACCTAACCTAACCTAACTTAACCTAACTTAACCTAACCTAACCTAACCTAACTTAACCTAACTTAACCTAACTTAACCTAACCTAACCTAACCTAACCTAACCTAACCTAACCTAACCTAACCTAACCTAACTTAACCTAACTTAAACTAACTAACCTGCCCTTTCAAACGTTACTCATCTTTTTTATATTAATTTGGCAACATTGTTATCTGAGATTATTACTGCAGAGATGTGTTGCTTCTGAGATTTTGTTTATTCTTTTGTTAACGTGTTGATGACCAGGAATAACTAAGGTCGGGAAAGTTATTTTTCATTTGCGAAATTTAGGTAGACGTTCTTTAGTCCTTTTAAGATGTACTATTCTAGGATCTTTAACTCTTAGGAGTGACCCTTAACTGTTTCTCTAGCTGGGTTAGTTTGTGGGGTTTGAAACCTATCGACTACACGAAGGTTTTTGAACCTGCGTGTATCCTCTTACCTCACCTGTAAAGGATGCTTGAATCCCTGTGAGAGGATTTCATCTCCGAGACACACCTCCTCCGGTCAGATGACCGAAGATCCCAGCTGCCGGTCATCATAATGACCCGCGTCAGGAAACGCTTGTCCTGTTTCCTGACCTAGCGTTTGCTGACGCGGGTCAACACAGCTGGAATTTTTGGTCATATGACTGAGGCCTTCAGCTGGCTTACCAGTCCACCCCATTAACAACTGACATTATTTTCAACGATTATGGCATTTCCAAATGTCTTAAATGCTTTTCCCTCTACTTGTCAAAATTCATAAATTTTTATATTCTCTCATATTTCCTAATAAATGAAGTGTTCCTTTGTCTATAACTCTCAAAATTGAAATTTTTTTATTTTATTATTCTTTTGACACTAACAATAGAATATAAACGATAGAATTATAATATTCAAACCTCCTACGGGAGATTCAATCATATTACAAACACACTCTTTTGTTTTATCCATTATTATTTTTGTACGGTTTTTTTTCGGAGGTATAGATTCTGACAAGTGTAGCCAAATGCAGTCAGTTTTTGAGTAACTGGTCGATTACCCGAAAATATGTGATTACTCTGTAGATATTATTGTAAAATGTATATATATAAATGCCATGTTGAGGGGAGGTATTGACGTTGCGTTGACCTAGCGCTGACGTGGCGTTGACGTTGCGTTGACCTGGCGTTGACCTTGTGGCGTACGAGTGCCCGAGGCTGACCCATCTGACCTGCGGCTGCTCGAAGGCAATCTACGACCCCTACAGGCTTAGCGCTTCCCCATGTCTGAACTGTACTGAGAAGACTTGAAGACCTAACGGGGAAAATCAGCTCAAACACGCCCACCCACGCCCACGCCCACTCCCACGCCCACACTGGCATGACCCACGAGGCGGAAGGGAAACAGGAGACCCCGGCGATGCAGGTAGCGGTGGTGGTAGTGGGAAGAAGTAGTGGTAGTTGTGGTAGTAATGGACTGGTAGCTACCATCTTGCTACTGGCTACTCTCCTGGCTGCTCTCAACACCGGGTAAGTTTATCAAATAAGAGGAACATAAGTGAGACCAAGAGACCGACTTTGACATTCTAATGCCGTCATCTATTTCAAATTCAAAAATAAAAAAGTCAGAAACACACATACAGTTCTTGCATTTTTCTCTGTATTTCTCATTCGTTAATCGTCGTTTCACTGCCTCGTTTATTGCTTGTACATGTGTGAGTGTTCGTGAAGCATCGTAACTGCAGTAACATCCTGCACTGGAACACTGCAGTGCAGGATGGCTGGTGCAACTTGACCTGTACTGCCTCCCTAACATTGCACAGGTATTGCACAAGTTGAAATAACTGATGTTAAATTGTAACTGTTAATTCTTTTAATTCTCTGATATGTTACAATGTTGTTATATATACTGTGACCACGAGACTTGATAATGGTCCAGTTATTGATAATGGTCCAGTTCTTGATAATGGTACAGTTCTTGATAATGGTCCAGTTATTGATAATGGTCCAGTTATTGATAATGGTCCAGTTCTTGATAATGGTCCAGTTCTTGATAATGGTCCAGTTATTAATAATGGTCCAGTTCTTGATAATGGTCCAGTTCTTGATAATGGTCCAGTTCTTGATAATGGTCCAGTTATTGATAATGGTCCAGTTCTTGATAATGGTCCAGTTCTTGATAATGGTCCAGTTATTAATAATGGTCCAGTTCTTGATAATGGTCCAGTTCTTGATAATGGTCCAGTTATTAATAATGGTCCAGTTCTTGATAATGGTCCAGTTATTGATAATGGTCCAGTTCTTGATAATGGTCCAGTTCTTGATAATGGTCCAGTTATTGATAATGGTCCAGTTCTTGATAATGGTCCAGTTCTTGATAATGGTCCAGTTATTAATAATGGTCCAGTTCTTGATAATGGTCCAGTTACTGATAATGGTCCAGTTCTTGATAATGGTCCAGTTATTAATAATGGTCCAGTTCTTGATAATGGTCCAGTTATTGATAATGGTCCAGTTCTTGATAATGGTCCAGTTCTTGATAATGGTCCAGTTATTGATAATGGTCCAGTTCTTGATAACGGTCCAGTTATTGATAATGGTCCAGTTCTTGATAATGGTCCAGTTCTTGATAATGGTCCAGTTATTGATAATGGTCCAGTTCTTGATAATGGTCCAGTTATTGATAATGGTCCAGTTATTGATAATGGTCCAGTTCTTGATAATGGTCCAGTTATTGATAATGGTCCAGTTCTTGATAATGGTCCAGTTATTGATAATGGTCCAGTTCTTGATAATGGTCCAGTTCTTGATAATGGTCCAGTTCTTGATAATGGTCCAGTTATTAATAATGGTCCAGTTCTTGATAATGGTCCAGTTATTGATAATGGTCCAGTTCTTGATAATGGTCCAGTTCTTGATAATGGTCCAGTTATTGATAATGGTCCAGTTCTTGATAATGGTCCAGTTCTTGATAATGGTCCAGTTATTGATAATGGTCCAGTTATTGATAATGGTCCAGTTCTTGATAATGGTCCAGTTATTGATAATGGTCCAGTTCTTGATAATGGTCCAGTTATTGATAATGGTCCAGTTCTTGATAATGGTCCAGTTCTTGATAATGGTCCAGTTCTTGATAATGGTCCAGTTATTGATAATGGTCCAGTTATTGATAATGGTCCAGTTATTGATAATGGTCCAGTTATTGATAATGGTCCAGTTATTGATAATGGTCCAGTTATTGATAATGGTTCAGTTCTTGATAATCGTCCAGTTATTGATAATGGTCCAGTTATTGATAATGGTCCAGTTATTGATAATGGTCCAGTTATTGATAATGGTTCAGTTCTTGATAATGGTCCAGTTATTGATAATGGTCCAGTTATTGATAATGGTCCAGTTATTGATAATGGTTCAGTTCTTGATAATGGTCCAGTTCTTGATAATGGTCCAGTTCTTGATAATGGTCCGGTTCTTGATAATGGTCCAGTTATTGATAATGGTCCAGTTATTGATAATGGTCCAGTTATTGATAATGGTCCAGTTATTGATAATGGTCCAGTTATTGATAATGGTCCAGTTATTGATAATGGTCCAGTTATTGATAATGGTCCAGTTATTGATAATGGTCCAGTTCTTGATAATGGTCCAGTTCTTGATAATGGTCCAGTTCTTGATAATGGTCCAGTTCTTGATAATGGTCCAGTTATTGATAATGGTCCAGTTATTGATAATGGTCCAGTTATTGATAATGGTCCAGTTCTTGATAATGGTCCAGTTCTTGATAATGGTCCAGTTATTGATAATGGTCCAGTTATTGATAATGGTCCAGTTATTGATAATGGTTCAGTTCTTGATAATGGTCCAGTTCTTGATAATGGTCCAGTTCTTGATAATGGTCCGGTTCTTGATAATGGTCCAGTTATTGATAATGGTCCAGTTATTGATAATGGTCCAGTTATTGATAATGGTCCAGTTATTGATAATGGTCCAGTTATTGATAATGGTCCAGTTATTGATAATGGTCCAGTTATTGATAATGGTCCAGTTACTGCTAATGGTCCAGTTCTTGATAATGGTCCAGTTCTTGATAATGGTCCAGTTCTTGATAATGGTCCAGTTCTTGATAATGGTCCAGTTATTGATAATGGTCCGGTTCTTGATAATGGTCCAGTTATTGATAATGGTCCAGTTTTTGATAATGGTCCAGTTCTTGATAATGGTCCAGTTCTTGATAATGGTCCAGTTATTGATAATGGTCCAGTTCTTGATAATGGTCCAGTTATTGATAATGGTCCAGTTCTTGATAATGGTCCAGTTCTTGATAATGGTCCAGTTCTTGATAATGGTCAATTTATTGATAATGGTCCGGTTCTTGATAATGGTCCAGTTCTTGATAATGGTCCAGTTCTTGATAATGGTCCGGTTCTTTATAATGGTCCAGTTCTTGATAATGGTCCAGTTCTTGATAATGGTCCAGTTCTTGATAATGGTCCATTTATTGATAATGGTCAATTTATTGATAATGGTCCGGTTCTTGATAATGGTCCAGTTCTTGATAATGGTCCAGTTCTTGATAATGGTCCGGTTCTTTATAATGGTCCAGTTCTTGATAATGGTCCAGTTCTTGATAATGGTCCAGTTCTTGATAATGGTCCGGTTCTTGATAATGGTCCAGTTCTTGATAATGGTCCAGTTCTTGATAATGGTCCGGTTCTTGATAATGGTCCAGTTCTTGATAATGGTCCAGTTCTTGATAATGGTCCGGTTCTTGATAATGGTCCAGTTCTTGATAATGGTCCAGTTCTTGATACTGGTCCAGTTCTTGATAATGGTCCAGTTCTTGATAATGGTCCAGTTTTTGATAATGGTCCAGTTCTTGATAATGGTCCGGTTCTTGATAATGGTCCAGTTCTTGATAATGGTCCAGTTCTTGATAATGGTCCAGTTCTTGATAATGGTCCAGTTCTTGATAATGGTCCAGTTATTGATAATGGTCCAGTTCTTGATAATGGTCCAGTTCTTGATAATGGTCCAGTTCTTGATAATGGTCCGGTTCTTGATAATGGTCCAGTTCTTGATAATGGTCCAGTTCTTGGTAATGGTCCAGTTCTTGATAATGGTCCAGTTCTTGATAATGGTCCAGTTCTTGATAATGGTCCAGTTCTTGATAATGGTCCAGTTCTTGATAATGGTCCAGTTCTTGATAATGGTCCAGTTCTTGATAATGGTCCAGTTCTTGATAATGGTCCAGTTCTTGATAATGGTCCAGTTCTTGATATCGGTCCAGTTCTTGATAATGGTCCAGTTCTTGATAATGGTCCAGTTCTTGATAATGGTCCGGTTCTTGATAATGGTTCAGTTATTGATAATGGTCCAGTTCTTGATAATGGTCAAGTTCTTGATAATGGTCCAGTTCTTGATAATGGTCCAGTTCTTGATAATGGTCCAGTTCTTGATAATGGTCCAGTTCTTGATAATGGTCCAGTTCTTGATAATGGTCCGTTTCTTGATAATGGTCCAGTTCTTGATAATGGTCCAGTTCTTGATAATGGTCCGGTTCTTGATAATGGTCCAGTTCTTGATAATGGTCCAGTTCTTGATAATGGTCCAGTTCTTGATAATGGTCCAGTTCTTGATAATGGTCCAGTTCTTGATAATGGTCCAGTTCTTGATAATGGTCCGGTTCTTGATAATGGTCCAGTTATTGATAATGGTCCAGTTCTTGATAATGGTCCAGTTCTTGATAATGGTACAGTTCTTGATAATGGTCCAGTTCTTGATAATGGTCCAGTTCTTGATAATGGTCCAGTTCTTGATAATGGTCCGTTCTTGATAATGGTCCAGTTCTTGATAATGGTCCAGTTCTTGATAATGGTCCAGTTCTTGATAATGGTCCAGTTCTTGATAATGGTCCAGTTCTTGATAATGGTCCAGTTCTTGATAATGGTCCAGTTCTTGATAATGGTCCAGTTCTTGATAATGGTCCAGTTCTTGATAATGGTCCAGTTCTTGATAATGGTCCAGTTTTTGATAATGGTCCAGTTCTTGATAATGGTCCAGTTCTTGATAATGGTCCAGTTCTTGATAATGGTCCATTTATTGATAATGGTCCATTTCTTGATAATGGTTCAGTTCTTGATAATGGTCCAGTTCTTGATAATGGTCCAGTTCTTGATAATGGTCCAGTTCTTGATAATGGTCCAGTTATTGATAATGGTCCAGTTTTTGATAATGGTCTAGTTCTTGATAATGGTCCAGTTCTTGATAATGGTCCAGTTCTTGATAATGGTCCAGTTCTTGATAATGGTCCAGTTCTTGATAATGGTCCAGTTCTTGATAATGGTCCAGTTATTGATAATGGTCCAGTTCTTGATACTGGTCCAGTTCTTGATAATGGTCCAGTTCTTGATAATGGTCCAGTTCTTGATAATGGTCCAGTTCTTGATAATGGTCCAGTTCTTGATAATGGTCCAGTTCTTGATAATGGTCCAGTTATTGATAATGGTCCAGTGTATGTGCGTGTGAATGGG